CTCGGGTGAAGACTATGATGGCTGTTCAGAGATGGCATAAGTGAGCACAACGACGACTGTATTTTATTAAATGACCATGACGGGAACGTTTTTACCCTAAAGGCAGAATCTGTATTGTAGGTCAACCTGAATGAAAGTAGGGAAATTTAGACTTCCACTGAAACCGATATGGTTTGTTAAAGGTAAAATTGAGAATGGAAATGGGGAATATGTCAAAGAGACAACAACCCGACCAAAGAGCAGATAAACTATTTAAATTTTGTTTTGTGACAGACCACCTAAAGCCCACTCAAATTACTGCAATTGTTATCATTCTGACTAGACTTGGTTGCGTATTTACATCTCCCTCCAAACCGAAAACCCCTCTTTTATTGCATGTGTTTATTTTCACATATTTCACTACTATACTGCAGTTTATCTTTAAATATGGCATGTAACGTGTATCCTTTACATAGACATCTAGCAGAAAACCAACTTAGAGTCTGACAATTTTGAAAACATTTGTCTCGAACCCAATATCTACACCAAGAAATGACTATAATGGGTATATACAAACCACCTTCTGTAACATTCAATGATTTGGCAAAATATATTTAAATAACTTAGACAAATGTACAGTATTATAAAATATGATCTGAATTTTTATTTTTTAAATCATAGTAAATATCAACCTTTAATGATCTGGGACTATTATACTGACTAAGTTTGATAGTCCCAGACATGTTATATGTGATATTTTTTAACTTACCTCAAATTGTAAAAGAACCAACATGTTTTTTATGAAAAGATAATTAAAACATCATTATAAGTGGATGTTCTTTTCACCAATGAAAAGATAATGTATCAATGCACTCAACACTACAACAGGTGTGAGTGATTTTCATAAAAGATAAAAGTATACAAATAATGAAAAGAATGTGTCATAAAAAATATATTTGACAATGCACCTTAAAAACAAGATGTTCTAGAGGAATCCACTCCCATGCATGAATAGTGATTTGGGAAAAACCATTCACCGTTATAACATATGTTATATTCATGTTACACAGAACAAAGAAAACAATATCTTCGGGAACATATAGAAAACAATATTTTAAAACGATCAATGAAAACTTATTTCTTTAAAAGATGCTTCAGTTGTACAATATCATACATGTGATTTTTGAAAAATTATTAAATCTTTTTTCTTTAAAAAGTGTAAATCAGGCCCAATAAAAAATTGCCTTAACTGATCCTAAACAAGTTAGACAACAATTTAATACCTTATTTTCAACTGTAGAAAAAATGTTATATATAAACAATCGTCACATCGCAGCATTTTAGAGATACAAAATCATAGAGACCAGGAGAAAAATTTCGAATTAAAAAAAAACACCGAGAAGGTTCATGTAAAACAAAATATAGATAAATCTCAAAACCAATTGTTCAGAGAACAACTGAAGGTCTTTCCACTCAAATTCATTTAAGATGAGAAAATTTTGATAAAAAACAGTATGTCCTTGTTTAAATGATAGCCTATCACACAATGATTTTGAAAAAACGATGTTTGAGGCACTTTTTTTAATTAATTGAGGAAGATAATAAGTCACTTCCGGTTATTTCAAAGTCACTTCCGGTGTCAAATAATAGCTTTCTTTGCTCTAATTAAAACAAAAAATATAGTTTCTATGTACTTTTGATTTAAATAAGGGAGATAAATTGCTACTTCCGATTTAAAAAAAAGTCACTTCTGGTTGACATTTTCAAGGTCATATTTCTACTTACCTAATGTAAAAGATCCCATGGTTTTATCATGTATAAATATGAATCAACAGCAAAAGTCAAAATCTAGAACGTCAATTTTACCTTTGACCTAAATTTTACGGTCATTAAACAAAGACCCCAGATTCAAATTACCCTTAGTCTCCACTATGTAAGGGAAATGAGTTCTATCCCAATAATGCTTATTTTGAGTATAACAGGGAAGAAAACGTTCATCAAATGTCAACGCACCCTTTTAACCAAAATATAAAATTAAGAATGGAAATAGGGAATGTGTCAAAGAGACAACAACCCGACCAAAGAGCAGAAAACAGCCGAAGGCCATCAATTGGTTTTCAACACAGCGAGCAAATCCCGCATCCGGAGGCGTGCTTTAGCTGGCCTCTAAACAAAAAAGTGTACTAGTTCAGTGATAATGGACGTCAAACTAAACCCCAAACCATATAAATGAACTAAAATTAAAAAACATACAAGACTAACAAAGGCCAGAAGCTCCTGACTTGGGACATGCGCAAAAATGCGGCGGGGTTAAACATGTTTTGTGATATCTCAACCCTCCCCCTATACCTCTAGCCAATGTAGAAAAAAACAAACACATATCAATATGCACAGTAAAACTCAGTTAAAAAGAAGTCCGAGTCCGATGTCAGAATAGAAAACAAAAGAAACTAAGCAAAATGACAATGATACATAAATTAACAAAGAACTACTAGCAGTTACTGACATGCCAGCTCCTGACCTCAATTAGACTGATTCAAAGATTATGTCTTCATCATATGAAAAGCAAGTACAATCCCTCCCATTAGGGGTTAAGTATTATACCGTCATAAGATATATGAGAAGAACATAACCCGTATCATGCCAACAACTGGTTTTAGAACAAATGTGTTTATTTCCAATCCAAAGACCATATGAGTAAATTAATATTAAAACCAAAATATGCCATCTTTAATGACCTGACAGTATCGTAACTATATCCTTTTTTAAAAAGTCTGTTTAAAGATTTGGTAAGCTTTTGAGGTGAATGCCGACATTTTTGTTCTTTGTAAAGAATATTACCATAAAAAATTGGATGTGAAATACCTGAACGTATAAGATGTCTGCATGATGATTTACATTTACGAATGACGTCCTTGTACCGATGATAAAATTTAGTAAATGTTTTTACTAGTTTGTGATATCAAAAACCCTGCTGTAATTTTTCAGTAATACAGATATTTCTTTCGTTAAAACCAAATACATTGTTACATACACGATCGATCGAACAAGTTGCGATTTATAAACACCATAAGATGGTGACAAGAAACGTTACCATCTAAAAATGTAAAATCAATTATAGGAAATGAAAAATCATGTCTTTTATTATATTTTTTTTGTATTAAGCTTTCCGCTCAAGATATAGATATCAAGATCTAGGTAAGGGCAGTGTTCATTGTTAGTATTAGCTTTATTTAAAGTCATTTCAACAGGATAAATCTCTTTAGTGTAAATACTTAAGTCGTTATTATTGAGAGCCAATATATCATCCAAATATCTAAAAGTGTTATTAATTTTTTTAGTAGATGTTGTTTCGATGGGTCTTTGCTGATTTTAGTCATAAATTGTAACTTATTACAATACAGAAACAGGTCCGCAATAAGTGGTGCACAGTTAGTTCCCATTGGGATTCCGATAACTTGACGATAAACGGAATCTCAAAAGCAAACAAAAATGTTATCTAATAAAAATTTCAGGCTAGTTATCGTAACAAAGCAGGTCCAATTGACATAGTTCTTTTGTTTGTTGTTACTAAAATATGACCTAAAAGAGTTTGAACATATATATTCTTATTCTGACATTTTAAATGACCATTTAATTAGGTGTGTTAATATTTTCTTAATCAAAATATGAGGCAAAGTGGTATATAAGGTAGAAAATCAAAACTTTGAACAGTTTCAAAATCATCAATATAAGCATGCGATTTATCAAGTACGTCCAACGAATTTTTTTATACTCCAAAAGTATTCAATTCAACTATTATCAAGGGCCTTATTTGAACAAGTTATCATCAGTTTTTCATTGCACCAAGCGTACTAGTAAGTAGAATAGACAGTTTAGTAGTACAAGTAGAACAATGGCTTGAAGACGAAATAAATCTATTTTGTAAGGTGTTTTGTGCAGCCTGGGAAGCCAGTACATAGTTAGAACTTTCATTGTATTTGGTTCTGTTGTCAAGAAGTAACTAAAAGTTTATGTTTGTTACAGATGTCATTTTCCGAAAATGGAGTCAGTTGAATGCTGGTGAATTCGTGATTTCCTTTTGCAGAAACACAATAATGATATTATTAGCAGCCTTATCAGCCGGGACAAAAACAAATTGCTTGACGATCGCGACTTCTTTTAGTTTATGTTTGATACGAGAAATAGGGTTATTATGGTTGTTGTTAGGATTAAAATGTTCTTTAAATGTGGCATACGTATATCAACAATGTTCATTACTGAATGAAAAAAAGTCTAAGGATTTCTTATCAATTGTTTTTTGTTTTATCCATTTCCAGCAGTAAGTACGTGGAAGATTTTACGACACTCATTCCAATTAATAATTGACGGGGGACGATATTAAGTTCTTTACTGAGGAATGATTTCAACTTTCGGTCACGAACGATGTTAAGGTCTCCTGTTATTACATGATAACTGGGGTCATAAATGTATTCGAATTACTGCAACTTCATGACGTTGGTGGATTGTCACTGATAGTAACATCTTTACACACTTGGCTAAAATAAAACACATATTTTCGGGTAGATTGTTTTAAACATAACAAATAAGAGGGAGTTCAGTACTAGAATTATCAAAATATCCAGGAATTTGTTCTTTAACAGAATGATCATTAATGACCATGTATGTTACGACATGTCGCAAATATCAGTTTAGTAAAAATATATATTCGATATCTTAAGACAGTGTTACATAAAGTATAATCATCTTAACAAGAGTGTAATATTTATCGTGTCATTAAAACTGCAAAAAGCAATTTTAAACCAGATCTGCTATAACTAATGTTACACGACATTGTAATAAAGTGTAAAAAAAGATATTCGAACAAGGAAGATTCAACGATAAATACATGTAGGTTTGTAGTTTAAATTTTGTACTGATTCATTCGGCTTATTGTACCCCACTACAACAATATATGATACCAATCTAGAATACAGTGTTAACTCATGACAAGGAATTCCGATAATGTTTTATGTGACAAATTGAGTTACGAAACTGTCTTTCAGTAAACAGTTTCATATATTCTTAACACAATCATACGATGGAGCTTCATGTTGAAATGTTGTTCATTTATCTATTCATTTACCATTTTATACCGGTTTTATGTTCATCTAATTGCAAGATAAAAGAGACAAATAGTGGAAACCGTACGATAATAACGGCAGACTGTAGTAACATGGGACTAGTACATGTTCCTCAAAATTTACCGCGAAACATTAATGCACTGGATCTTAGTTGTAACGACATAACAAGTGTTACAAATGATGCATTCGTCAATTATAAGAGCTTATTGGAACTTAATCTGAATTCAAACAAAATTAATCATACATCAAACTCGTCATTTAAGGGATTAGGAAATCTTCAATCGTTGGAAATGGCTGAAAATTCTCTTGATCTGTCTGATGTGTATACAATAGATCTGTTCGTGCCCTTGATGAAATTAAATATTCTTAACATCAGGAGGAACATGGATCAGCCGACTAACTTTTCCACCATGTTTACGTATCCAGACAAGGCATTGAGTGTTTTAAATCAATTGACAAACTTATCGATTGACTTAATGCCAAAACCAAAATTTGGACAAGGATTTAAACTATTAAAAAGGCTCCATAGGATAGAATTCCAGTCATGCTATGTTGTAAGCCTAACCAATGAAACATTTAAGTTTTTCTCGTCCAGTGTTGAAACACTTATAATGCAAAATTGTAGATTGAATTTTGTACGTGCTGAAATAGGCACTTTATTGTCATTTCCAGAGCTGAAGGTCGTCGATTTTTCTGACACATTTATGCATTTAAAGCAGGCACTGTTATTGCTTAATCCATACACAAATAAAAACATGACAATTATAAATTTTCATCACGTGAGCGACGTTGTCATTGACAACAAAGAATTTCCTTATTCTTTGATTTTAACAACCGAGATGACAAAGTATTTACGAACTATTTGTGTTGAAAACTTGGATTTGTCACAAAATGGTATTGTTGATTATGAACCTGGATCTTTATTTACATTTCGTTATCCTGAATGTATACAAAATATGTCGGTAAGGGCGAATAGATTTGCCATAATATCTAATAGAATACAGTTGCAACATCTAAACAACTTTACCCAGCAAGCTAGTCGTTTGAAAACTTTGGATGTTTCCTATAACGTTGTAAGCTATCCTGTGTCTAAAGAAAACACCATTTCATCAGGTTTCGATAATCCTTCCGCTGTTTTTTTTAATTTTTCAAAATCCGTAGAAAAATTGGATGCTAGTTACGTGATGACAAACGATTTACCTATTATATGTCTAATCCCTATTAATAGTAGTTTGAAGTATCTTGACATGTCATATACATTGTCGTCAGGGATGATGCTTTTCGAATCAGATAATCAGGATCATCCCCCCAATTTGGAAACATTCATTGATAGTGGAAGTGATTATTCTTTTATCTGGCATGAATTCGGTAGATTTACTCACAATAATCTGAAAACAGTTGTCTGGAAGGATCGCAATTTAAATGAGGGCATAAAAGCGCATCCGAAAGACCTTTTCAGAAACTTGAATTCAGTGGAAACCCTTGATATATCAGAAAACAACATTTGGTACTTTTCGGACAATTTGTTAGACCCAATGAAAAATCTATCTGTATTAAATGTATCAAAAAATTTACTGCAAAGTATTCCAATACAGTTGATAAATCATTTTAAAATCAGAAAACTTGATGTTCGAAATAATGTATTAACAGGAATCAATTTCGAAATAAGGAATTGGCTTGATCAGATGCAGACCATGCATTCAATGTCACTGTACTTAGCAGGAAATGCATTTGAATGTTCGTGTAATAATATTGACTTGATAAGATGGCTGCAGACAACAGAGGTGATGTTAGACAGTCGCTCGTATAACTGTGTACTATCTAACGGAAGCAACAGCAATACATTGGATGCATATAACTCTTTCCCCGATCTGTTTGCTTATTGTGAAAGTTCTATGTGGCTAACAGTAGCAACAACGTTACTGTCAACAGGATTCATAATAACGATATTACTAGTGTTGTATAATAAAAAATGGAAAATCATGTTTACCTTGCAGGGAATAATAAATCGTGTAGTTGAACAAAAGATCAAAAGGCAGTACACTTACGATGTGTATATTTCTTACGAAGGTAATGCAGTTTATTGGATCAAAGAAACGCTTGTCTCAAAACTGGAAGGAGAATGGGGATTAAACATGTGTATACGAGAAAGGGATTTCCTTGCTGGGATTTCTCATGCTGATAATGAAGCAGAAGCCATTAAAGAAAGTAGATGCATTATCTTTGTAATAACTCCAGGGTATACAATATCCCCTGATCGTTCATTCGAGATAAACAGGGCTCAATACGAAAGAATTAGGAGCAATTTAGAAACAGTAATAGTTCTAACAAAGGACATTACAATAACAGATGTACCTCGTAATTTTTCTTATATCTGGAACTATGTGTACCTGATAGAATGGACGGATGATGATCAGTTTAATTTGGATGCTATTTGGGAGAAATTGAAATTGTTGCTCACACCAAGGAGGTTATATTAGACAACAACCTTGCTCAAACAAATTGGTTTAAATGAAACAAATATATTATTATTTAGTAGTTTTATTTCACTAAGTGAAAATTAAGTCGTATGGTTGTAATAAAGCGTGTAAAAACTAATACCTCCATTTGAAATACGTTTAGTGTCCGAGTTCATCAAGTCTGATTGTATGATTTGTACACGAAATCTTAGTTACTGCACAATTAAATGAATACCAAATGATATGCAAAAAATATGATGATCTATACAGGCTATTGAGTCCTGAATATAAAAATGAATTAAATCTGACCGACGTTTAGGCTGTATTTTATTTACATTCATTTAACATTCATAATTATCGCAGTTATTTTTTCGCAAAGTTCAAGACGTACAGTATAGGATATATTATTTATACACAAATGTACCCAATGTAGGATGCATGATATCCATGTCAGCATTCCTTTCCTTAACTTTTATTATGGTAATCTCAGAATTATTCTTCTAAAACCAATGTTCTTCTCGTCCATAATATTTCTATCAAAGATCTAGACTGACACACCTTTCTAGAACAAACATTTATGTGCATTCTTCAAGGTATTTGTGATATGTCACAGATCCAGATAAATCAAGGTCAGAAAAAATATCCACCTTTTTATATCAGGCTTAGAAACCCGAACCATTCAACAGTTTAATGCCGAACATAAAACGTTGATATCTTTTTACATTGATTAATTATTGTTACCATACTTCCACTAAAATGGCTATAATTATAATAGTTTTGAAATGTAAATGTAAACCAAAAATAAAAAAACTTTATTTCCTTCCCGAGCTCACGATTGAGAAGAAAAGTGACTTGACATGCAATTTGCATTCGACAATACACAACAGGAAGTACGCTAGCTAAAGTATAAAACAAAAACAGGTAAAGAAAAGTACTCAGACAATTGGTTAAAATTTTAAACAACAATGATGAAATGTCTCGCCTGCTTAACTCGATTTTATTTATGTTGAAAGTATATAATATGAAGATTTTACTGAAAAAATCACATATACTTAATTTTATCAAGGATCCATTGTCAATGACCTGTTAGGATAAGTATGTTGGGATATACAGGATTCAGAAATTGATGGGATATGCGAATATTCAGGGTCCAAAATCAGATAACATAAGATCCATTCGAATTCAATACCCGTCATTTGTTTCAAAATATTCATGCCTAAGTGCTCGGGTGAAGGCCATGATGGCTGTTCAGAGATGACGTTTGTGAGGACAACGACGACTGCTTTTTGAATATTGACAATCCTTTAATAAATTACCATGACGGGAACGTTTTACCCATAAAGTTAGGTGCTGTATTGTTGGTCAACCGGAATGAATGATGGGAAATTTAGACTTTCACTGAAAAATACATGGTTTGTAAAGGTAAACATTTTGAATTTTGTCGTGTGACAGACTCACTCAAATTACTGCAATTGTTCCCATTCTGACTAGACGTGGTTGCGTATTTATACATTCTTCCAAACCGAAAACCCCTCTTGTTCCCATTCTGACTAGACGTGGTTGCTTATTGATACATCCCTCCAAACAGAAAACCCCTCTTTAATAGCATGTAAAATTGAGAATGGAAATGGGGAATGTGTCAAAGAGACAACAACCCGACCATAGAGCAGACAACAACCGAAGGCCACCAATGGGTCTTCAATGCAGCGAGAAACTCCCGCACCCGGAGGCGTCCTTCAGCTGGCCCCTAAACAAATATGTATACTAGTTCAGTGATAATAGATGTGTTTATTTTCAGTGATCATATTTCACTACTTTACTGGAATTTATCCTTCAATATGGAATTTGACGGGTATACTTTACACACACATCTAGCAGAAAAACAACTTTCAGTCTGACAAATTTTGGAAACGTTTGACTTGAAGTCAATATCAACTAAAATAAATGGCTTATAATGAGTATAAACAAACACACTTCTGTGGCTGATAATGATTGTGCAAAATATATCAAAATAACTTAGACTAATCTGGTATTAAATATAATCTGAATTTGGATATTTTAAATCATAGTAAGTATCAACCTTCACATTATGTATGTGATATTTTTAACATCTCTCAAATTGTGAAAGAAACAACATGTTTCATAAAAAGCTAGATAATACATCATTATAAGTGGATGTTCATTTCACCAATGAAAAGACAATGTGTGAATGCACTCAACACTACAATAGGTGTGAGTGATTGTCATTATAGATAAATGTATACAAAATAATGAAAAGAATGTCATACAAATATACTTGATAAACATGCAGCTTTAAAAACAAGATACTCTAGAAAAATCCACACCCATGCACGAATAGTGATTTGAGAAAAACCATTCACCGTTAACATATTATGTTATATTCATGTTACACAAAACAAAGAAATGCAATAACTTTGGGAACATAATGAAAACAATATTTAAAAAAACGATCAAGGAAAAATTATTTCTATAATGATGCTTCAGTTGTGCAAAACCATTCATGGGATTTTTGCAAAATTATTAAACCTTTTTTTCCACTATAAAGTGTAGCTCAGGCCCACAAAAAATAGTCTTGACTGATACAAAACATTATTAAACATTTTTGTTCTTCAAAAAGTGTAACTCAGGCACACAAAAAATAGTCTTGACTGATACTAAAATGGCTGAACCAATTATTATTGAAATGTAAACACAAAAATTAAACTTAAGTTCCTTGCCAAGCTCAAGATTAGGAAGAAAAGTGACATGCAATTGGCATTCGACAAAACACAACAGGAAATATGCTAGCTGTAGTACAAAACAAAAATAGGCGAAGAAAAAGTACTCAGACAATTGGTTAAAACTTTAAACAACAATGCTGAAATGTCTCGCCTGCTTAACTTGATTATATTTATGTTGAAAGAATATAATATGATGGTTTTACTGAAAATATCACATATACTTATAGATTATTGTGGTCATCTCAACGAGATTGATTTTCCTGCTTGAGCCGGTACGGCGAAAGTGAGAAATACAATCGAGTTGAGATGACCAATGATAATCTGTTTATCGCTATACTACCTATGATTACGTTGTTAATTTCGTTGACAACGGCACGTGCGTCCTTAGCTTCTAGCAATAATTTTTCATTTCACTCTACTGTGCTGAGAAAGGAAATTATCAGTCAGTAAGATCAAGGGAAAATTTCGTAAAATAGCGATAATTAATTCTATCAAAGGATCCATTGTCAAGGACTTGTAAGGGTTAGTATGTTGGGATATACAGGTTTCAGAAATTGATGGGATAGCCCACTCAAATTACTGCAAATGTTCCCAGACTGATACGAAACAAGTTCCACAACAAAAATTTAATACCTTGTTTTCAACTGTAGATAGGGAAATTGGAAAAAATGTTATATATGAACATTCGTTACATCCCACCATCTTAGAGATACATAATCATAAAGACCAGGAGATAAATTTCGTAGTAAAAGAAAAACACCGAGAAGGTTAAAAAACTTAAAAATGAAATTAAAAACAAATTGTTTAGAGAATAATTAAAGGTCTTTCTACTCAATTTCACTTAAGATGAGAAAAGTTTGATAAAAACAGTATGTCCGGGCTTAAATGATAGCTTATTACGCACTGAATTTGAAAATACAATTTTTGAGGCACTTTTTTCATCAATTAAGGTAGATAATAAGCTACTTCCGGTTAAATTAAAGTCACTTCTGGTGTCAAATAAAAGCTTTATTTGCCTTGATTCAAACAATATATAGTTTCTATATACTTTTGCTTTGAATAAGGGAGATAAATTGCTACTTCCGGTTTAAAAAAAGTCAATTCTGGTTGACATTGTCAAGGTCATATGTTTAATAACCTAATGCAAAAGATCCCAAGGCTTTATCATGTATAAATATGAATATACAGCAAAGGTCAAAACCTAGATCGTCAATTTTATATTTGACCTTGAACTAGATTTCAAGGTCATAAAGCAAGGACGTCAAATCAAATTACCCTTAGTCTCCACTATGTAAGAGAAATGAATTCTATCCCAATAATGTTCATTTTGCGTATTAGAGGACAGGACACTCCCATCATATGTCAACTCACCCTTCAAACCAAAATATGTATGTTACGACATGTCGCAAATATCAGTTTAGTAAAAATATTGTGTCGATATCTTAAGAAACAACTGCAAATAAAAGTTAAAACCAGATTTTCTATAATTTATGATACACGACATTGTAATATAGTGTGAACAAAAGATATTCGAACAAGGAAGGTTCAATCGTAAATTCATGTAGGTTTGTAGGGTAAATATTTTACTGATTCATACAGCTTAAGGTACCCCACTACAACAATACAAATGTATATGATACCGTTCTAGAATACAGTGTTAACTCGTGACAAGGAATTCCGATAATGTTTTATGCGAAATATTGACGAAAGAAACTGTTTCATATATTCTTAACACAATCATACGATGGAGCTTTATCTTAAAATGTTGTTCATTTATCCATTTATTTACCATTTTATACCGGTTTTATGTTCATCTGATTGCAAGATAAAAGAGACAAATAGTGGAAACCGTACGATAATAACGGCAGACTGTAGTTACATGGGACTAGAACATGTTCCTCAAAATTTACCGCGAAACATTAATGCACTGAATCTTAGTAGGAACGACATAACAGGTGTTACAAATGATGCATTCGTCAATTACAAAAGCTTATTGAAACTTAATCTGAATTCAAACAAAATTATTCATCTTTCAAACTTGTCATTTAAGGGATTAGGAACTCTTCAATTGTTGGAAATGGCTGATAATCCTCTTAATCTGTCTGATGTGTATACAATAGATCTCTTCGTGCCCTTGGGGCAATTAAATATTCTCAACATCAGGAGGAACATGGATCAGCCGATTTATTTTTCCACCATTTTTACGTATCCAGACAAGGCATTAGGTGTTTTAAATCAATTGACAAACTTATCGATTGACTTAATGCAAAACCAAAATTTGGACAAGGATGTAAACAATTGAAAATGCTCCGTAGGATAGAATTCCTGTCGTGCTTTG